TTCGAATATGTTAATAACTAACTGGAACATGCAGAAAAAAAGTAAAAAGTAATGAACAGATCTCAGGCTTTTTGTTCAGAATTTAATTTTTTTTTTTTTATTAAAAACGTATTTTCCCCTTTGTTTCTTGTCAGTTTAAATTTGTTTATTTGAGTGAAAGGAGGCGATAATCAAGTAATTAACCCTAATTTTAAGTTCCCTGATTTTAAAAAGGTTAAAGATTGAGACTAAAACTGAGATATATATAGATTTTCAAGGTTAAACTGGGAATTTTCAAAACTCCAAAAAAATAATTTGAGAGCAAAGTGGCTCTTATTCTAGCTTGTTTCAATCATTTCTCAAGATTTTTTCGGGTTCTCTAAAATAATTCTTTAACCATGAAATGAAATACGAATTAACAATCGGTTTTTTTAGAAATTGTATTTTACATGCAGTTTACAACTTTGCTTACAGTGTACATATGCAGTGTAAGCTTACAGAGTACATACTGTGTGTATATTTAATTCAAAGAAAATTTTATAAACTTTCTAAAAAATGTTTGTGAATGGCAAAATTTCTTTAATTCCATGCAAAAATACGATGCAAAATTTTTTCAGAAAATTTGAGAAAACAATTTGAAGAAATCTTTTCTTAGAATTTTATTTTTATTTTTTTCTGTAAAATTTCAAAAATATATTTTCGATGCAAAACTTCATTGAAAAGAAAGAACCCTCGGATGTAAAGAGCTACCCAGAAAGGATGCTACTTTATGACGACATAAACTTTAAAACTAAAATATTTGAAAGATTAATTTTGTGTTATGCGTCGAAGAGAGTCTTTAAAGGGACTGTACGTGTAATTTCAAGTGACCCTCCATGCAAAGTTAGCAATGCTCGATTCACATAGGTACCCTTGAAACATTTATATAATCGATGATATGGAAGATATTGTCGTTTTTCTAGGTTTAAGAGTGTTTAAAACTAATAATTCCAAAATGTTTTCAGGCAGTAGAAATGAGCAAGTCACTTCTGTAGAGAAATCGCATTTTAAAATGATGCAGTTTTTAAGGGAACCGATGTAAATCGTCCATTGCCGTCTTTAAATGGAAGGTCCCTTGAAACTACTCTCACAGCCCCTTTAAAATGTAAATTAACTGAGGAAACAAAGAAAGAAACGATTGTGAAGTGTTTCATGAATTATTAAATGTAAAGTAAACTCAGTGACGTCATTATTCTTTCGTATTGGACAGTTTTTCTCTAGGTCTAAGCCTTTTCAACCTTCATATGAGCAAAAATGATTTAGATATTCTTGCTTTCCTTTCTAAGAACTGATAATATTCAACCGTGGTTCCCTTGTAAAATTGATTTTCGGATTCATGCGATAAAACCACAAAAAAAGCTAACAGAATTTTAAACTATTTTAGCTAGAAAAACGACGATATCATCCTCATTGCTGTCATGTTACCAGTCCCTTTAAGACTCACTTCATCTAAAAAAATAATAATTTCCTTGAAAACTCCAGGAATAAAACTTTTAAAAAAAAATTTTAAAACAAAAAAAACTATTGTTAGATTTTCTCCAAATATTTGTGAGGCCACTTTTGCTTCATTGAATAATTTGAACAAAAATTCATTTTTATTGAATTAATTTTAATTCTAAAATTAATTTTACAAAAGAGTTGAAGATTTAAATATAGTTTGGAGAGGAAAATCTTGTAAAGTTGGGGCCGGGACAAGAGAAAGATGAAGACATCAAGATGTAACAAGAAGATAAAAGGGAAAATACAGGTTCCAAAGAATCCTGAAGCCGAATTTAAAGAATTTAAACCGCGTCACTGAACCGACAAAAACCGGTTCCAATTGAGCGCCGGCGCAAATCTCGAAACATTGAATTCAATTTCAATTAAAGCCAATCATGTTTTTGCCGCGTTATTCTTGAGACGTGGCTCAAATTCTTTAAATTCGACCTATGTGCTCCGAACTTAAATTTTTAATATTTTCAACATCAATTTTAAATTTTTAGAAATTTTTATCTTTAATGAATGAAAAGATAAGTTGGTATAAAGTTAGCCCAGACAATTTGTAGAATATACTAATATTAACTTTTTCTTGAGCAAACTTAATTTCTTTTTTTAATTTTAAAAAAGAAATTCTGACAAAGAAATGAAGAGAATGCATGAACAAAAATGGAAAAAAGATTTTAAGAATTGATTTAAAGAGTAAACAGTAAGAAAAGAGAATTAAAAAATGATATAAAGAGAAAACAGGATGAATAGAGAATAGAGATAAAAGAAAACATAAAAAATGGATTAGTTGACAAGAGAAAATATATCATTAATGATATTTACATATTTGGCTTATAGAGATAAAGAGAAAACAGTGAGAAGGGATCGATAATAAAGATGAAGAGAAGCCAAAAAAGAAGATATGGAAAACATATTTGGCGAATAGAGATAAAGAGAAAACAGTGAGAAGGGATCGATAATAAAGATGAAGAGAAGCCAAGAAAGAAGATATGGAATACATATTTGAAGAATAGAGATAAAGAAAAAACAGTGAGAAGGGATCAATAAAAAGTGAAATAAAGAGAATACAGGATGAAAGAGGGTACAAAAGAGATAGAGTATAGGATATGGAGGTAAAAAGAATCGAAGAGGAAAGAGAACTAAAGAATACATATTTAACACATGTAGAGATCAAAAGAAAAAAAGAAAAAGAGAGAAGAAAGATGAAGTGAAAACAGAGACTAAAGAAGAGAGAGATGAAGAGAACACTGGCTAGAAGAGAAAAACGGTATGGAGATAAAGAGAAGAAAGATAAAGGAGAAATAGAGATTAAAGAGAAAATAGTGTGATAAAAAGAGAATACAGAAAAAAAACAATGACGGCATACAGATAAAAAGAAGACCAGAGAAAAGAAAAAATAAAGAATGCACATTTGACGAAAAAAAATTTATTGCAAAGGAGAAGAAAGAATAAATGTCATAAAACCCGACTATATAGAAGAGATTAAAAAGTTATAGATTATGGTATTAAAGAAAATACAAAGAAAAAAATATGAAAAAAAGCCAATGAGGAGAAATAAAAGAAGCCATCAATGACGTATAGAGATAAAGAGAAAACAGTGAGAAGAGAGACGAACGGTGACGGAATTGAGATGAGGAGATGACAAGAGAGGAGAAAGGTGTCTCATCAGAGTTATTATTGTTGTTTAAACTGAGCTAGAGGACAGGCTAGGATAGAATTGATAGAAGAGAGAGAATAATAAGAGAGATGAGAGAAAGAGAGAGAGAGAGAGCTAGGAATGTACGTAACTTTACGAGAACTTTAACCTCTCAGCTCTCAGTAAACATCGAACAGCTCTATGATAAGTGCAGATTAAATTTAATAAAAACTAAAAATATTTTTTTGCAATGACATTTGGGGAACTTTTTTTTACAAAATTTCAAATTTGGTTCAAATTTTTAAGTCTAGACAAGAGTTCTTCTATTTAATTCTAAATCAATGCGATATTACCATTCGAAAATAAGTTTTTGATAAATTATTTGACAGAAATTTTCACATGTGAACTCTATGAAAGAGAACTAATCATTTTTGTTATACAAGTTGTTCAACAACAAAAAACTAGCAATGGATCCGTAAGTTTCAAAAGAAATGGAAGATAGTAAATATACGTTTGAACGTCGTATGATAAAGAATTTTTATGATATTAACAAATATTTAAACTATTGATGTTTTATTTCTGGAAAATGGAAAAAAATTCAGAATTTCAAAGAATCGAATTGAATTATTAAGTCAGATAAAATGCATATCTCACGATCAACCGAACTTTCCTAAAAGAGTAATTTTTGTCGATAATCTAAAGATATTATAGCTTGTAGGAACCCAGCTTTGTCTGTAAACTAAACTTCCTCTAAAAAAGTCAACCCAGTCAATTTAAAATGTTCAAAGATATAAGAACATTCCCGTGGTTCTAAAGATTTCCCCAATAAGAATTTGAGCCTGATTTAGGATCAGATAAACCGAGATATTTCTACTTTATATACATATATAGATCTTTTGTATTTTCTATATTATACTTCTTTGGCGGGAAATCTATTTTTAAATATAAATACAATAAATAAATATATAGTTTACGCTATGTTTGACAGATTTTGAATGAGAGACGAAATATGGCAGAAAATATTCCGATACAGATGGCACTTCCTTGTAGTTCATTTTACATGGATTCTATACGATACGATACAGACGGCACTTCGTTGTAGTTCATTTTACGTGGATTCTATATGATACGATACAGACGATATTTCGTTGTAGTTAATTTTACGTGGATTCTATACGATACGATACAGACGGCACTTCGTTGTAGTTCATTTTACGTGGATTCTATATGATACGATACAGACGATATTTCGTTGTAGTTAATTTTACGTGGATTCTATACGATACGACACAGACGGCACTTTGTTGTAGTTCATTTTACATGGATTCTATACGACACGATACAGACGGTACTTCGTTGTAGTTCATTTGACATGGATTCTATACGATACGATACAGACGGTACTATGTTGTAGTTCATTTTACTTGGGTTCTATACGATACGATACAGACGGTACTTCGTTGTAGTTCATTTTACGTGGATTCTATACGATACGATACATTGCCAGTCTTTATGGTTGGATTATATATCTATATCTTTGCAACCTGATAGTGTAGATCCTTGATATTTCAAACTTTGATTATTTGATCAAACATACTTTATAGTTCTACAACAAAGATATTGCAAAGATATAGGGATTAGAAAAGCAGAGTTTGTGTCAAAGACTCAATATTTTCCTGTGGTGGAAAAAAATATTGTTTTTAATATAGAAACTGAGAGCTCACTTTTATAATATTGAATATCTTTTAAAGAGCAGTTCAGAAAAAAATAGAAAAGAACTCATTTAATTTTTAATATTTAATGAAGTTTTATTCAAGAAATGTAATTGCGTTAAACTGAAACGGAATGTTTTGCAGAAAGAATGTCTAAGCTAAAGCCAGGGAAAAGATCAAGAAGATCAACTCAAAACCTCGAGTTTGCGGAATCTCGAAGATCAACACAAAACTTCGAGTCTGCAGAATCTCGAAGATCAACACAAAACTTCGAGTCTCCAGAATCTCGAAGATCAATACAAAACCTCGAGTTTGTAGAATCTCGAAGATCAACACAAAACTTCGAGTCTGCAGAATCTCGAAGATCAATACAAAACCTCGAGTTTGTAGAATCTCGAAGATCAACACAAAACCTCGAGTTTGCAGAATCTCAAAGATCAACACAAAACCTCGAGTTTGCAGAATCTCGGAGATCAACACAAAATCTCGAGTTGGCAGAATCTCGAAGATCAACACAAAACCTCAAGTTTGTAGAATCGCGAAGATCAACGCAAAACCTCGAGTTTGCCGAAACTCGAAGATCATCTCGATCCCTCCTTGAGTCTTCATTTTCTCCTCGAGAACAGGAAAAAATGTTCTTCAAAGATATATCCCTCCCTTCTCCTGGTAGCTACCAGAGTAGGTAATATCTTAAATTGTTTATCGTTGCCTGCAATTAAAGATTTAAAAAGTTTTTATTGTGCCAATAATGTTAAATATATCGTCTTTGATCTCACGAGATTTCCTCCAGTCATTTCTGCAACAATAGAAAATAACAAAGTTTTAAAGAGAAATACTTCTTAATCTGACAAAGTATACAAGGGTTCTGTTGGGAATCAAATATATCACCTCTACAATATTTTGGGTAAAGCATTTTACTCCCTTTAGATTTTTTCAGTTTACCAATATCAAATTGGTTTCTGATTTCAATTATCAAATTTTCAAAATTTGCAATTAATTAATACAAAATGCATTTTTTTAAATTAACAATTTCTCCAATATCATTATCGTACAATGAATAAAACTATAAAATGTAATTGTTTGGCATAAATTCTAAAAAAGATGCATTTATTTTCTAGAGGTGAAATGAATGACGGGAAACTAGCTCCTGTAGGATATACTCAGAGTATTCCTCTCAACCTTCAAGCACACAGTACTGGCCGGAGAAGTTCATGTTTCAACTTCCTTCCTTCCAAAGATCACGAACTACGAAGATCTGACCTCAACTTGACCTCCCCACCCCTACTAGACCACCAGACCAGTAGCTCTGCCAGGGTTCAAGGTAGGGCTGGGCAAAGTTCCGTTAACGAAAAGGATGTTTTCGAAAATTATCGAACGGCAAAAACCGTTAATTTTTAAACCGTTAACGAAACGGATTATCAGCTCTGAAAAATTAATGGGTGAAAACGAAAACTAAACGAATGGGGTTTTAATTTGTTATTTTTTCTGCTAAAATTGCATGAAACTTACAACAACAACAAAAATATTGAGTTCGTTAACTGATGGTAACTTAAAAAAAAACGGAAAATACCATAAACGAAACAAATTTTCAGTTCCTATCTCTAAAAATAACGGCTACATGATAATTTTCTTTTTTTAACGGTTGGAACTAGCCGTTAAACGAAACGGCTAGAAAAAGTTTGAACGTGCCCAGCCGTGGTTCAAGGTACACCGCGCTCCAGGAGTAGTTTACAGTTGTCTGAAAATATCTCCTCCTTCCAACTGTGGACGAATACAGATTCATCTCTAGTACCAACCTGGGATCCAATAAACTTGATGTACGTCAATACTCCTCAACAAGAAAAGGTATGAAACCTAATCAAACCTTTAGATCAACTATTTTTAAATGAAATACTTATACAAGTATATAAATGACAAATTTATCCCACTTTCTTTGCAACTTTTGGTGTAAACCTTTCGATGGCAAAGTTAAAAAAAAACAAATTCAGCGACATCAAGTGGAAAAAAAAATATAAGATAATAAGAATTTGAGGCGAGTAATCAGTTGCTCTGTGATTTTTTTAGAGAAAAGTTTTTTTCCTTGTTCTAACTTCCATTCCTGTGAATGATATTTCTCTCAACCAGTTATATATTTCATTGGTTGGAGTAAAAGTTGAGTAAGATAATGAAGAGGATGGATTAGTAGAATAGCAAATATAGATAATCTCTGACAAGTATAGTCTGAAAACCTTTTCGAACAAGATTACCAAAACTCAGAAATATTAAGACCAAAACTTGAACTTTATAGAGTGTTCCTCATCAACTGGAGATTACATCAATCTATTCATTGGGATTTTTAGGATTTTAAGGAAAATTTTTAGAGTTGTATAATCCATGTATTCACATACATCTAGCCTGCTATTATAATCCATGTATTCACATAGATCTAGACTGCTATTATAATCCATGTATTTACATAGATCTAGACTGTAATTATAATCCATGTATTCACATAGATCTAGCCTGCTATTATAATCCATGTGTTCACATAGATCTAGACTGCTATTATAATCCATGTATTCACATAGATCTAGACTGCTATTATTATCCATGTATTCACAAAGATCTAGACTGCTATTATAATCCATGTATTCACATAGATTTAGACTACTATTATAATCCATGTATTCACATATTTACATCTTATGAAAATTTGCATCAATAAAGACTTGAACTACCTTAAACTAAAGGGTCGCAACGCCTTGTCCTTTGATTTTACATCACTAAATCGCTTAAACTTTTTTGCAGCCCTAAACATATATATTTTAGTACTTGATTTTAGCTTTAGTTAAATAGGATTCCTTTTCGCAATAGTTTGGAATCATTGGATCATTTTCCAATATAATCATGAGATGCTATGTGGATTTCCTTGATTTATGAGACATATAAAGAAATAAGTTTTGTCATTCTTATATATTTGAAGCAATTGAAAATTAGATATGACGCAGCACCAGGGCTTCCTTCTTATCCTTTCAATTCCGCGAAGGAAAATGTTTAGTCAAAGTAATGTGCAAGTGCAAGACGTTGGTATGTTTTTTTTTTTGATAAAGGTAAGATAAATTGTCCTATCCCTATATCTTTATAACCCAATGTGGTAGTTTTTTGATATTTTTAGCTTTGAATATTGTTGGATAAAACAATTTAAATTTGAAACACCACCAGGTTGCAAAAAAGGGATTAGAAAATTTGAGTTTGTGACAAAGAATCAATTCCTTTTGTGGTGATTTTATCAATGTTTATTAATTATTATCATTCTGATCATGATCCTTTCTAAAATTACTATTGAGTGTATGCATGAGTTGTATAGTTTCTTATTGAAATATTTTAAGCAGTTGTGACTTTATACACTACTTGGTTTTACAAACGAAAAACCATGTTAAAAATTCCATCTTTGTATTAGATAATTTAAACTTGTAAACATGCTAACAAATTAAACTTGTTAAAATAAATTGATATAACAGAGAGCTCTGCAAAGAAATTAAATTAATGGTTAATGAATGAAAATTATTATAATTAAATAAAAGATATTTACAAGAATTATAAGCTTTATATTATCATGTTTCATTTTTCTAAAAAAAAGAGATTTTTTTTTGTCCCCAGGATCGGGTTGTTACGATCAAATCTCGGATTTTTTTCTATTGCGAAAGTTTGGTGTTGTCTGGGTTTTTATATTGATCTACCAGGGGTTGTAATCTGGCAGCACATTCATCCATCCACGCTTCACTCATTCTGAGAAGAGGGTTGACAAGATTCCAGCTGCCTAAGATTCTTCTAAGGCCTGAGAATATAGAGTGCAGGAATCCTTCTGATATACTGGAATGAGGCCCGGGTTCCACTGATAGGAAACATCACACTCATTGCTCCATAACATCTCTAAGCCCGGATTGGATACCCCCAGGTACCTATAGCTGGCAACCAAAGACTTTCCCTGCTTGTCCACCATTCCTCTCTTCATCATCATTCACTTAGATCAATCCCACTTGAAGCTTCGTTCTTGTTGAGTAGAAATCCACCCTCTCTGTCCTCCTACATCCGTCAGGTGGTCATAACTGCTTAACCAGATGTCGGCTTCAGATGTTTTTGAAACCACAGGTTTGTGTGGAGTACGGGAATCGAACCCGTGAACACCAGTCTGGACACCAATCCAGATACTGGCTGTGGACAAGTGTGCTTAACTTCAGTGATCTAACGAGAACTGGTGTCACAAACTCTCCACCCCACCCCACAATGTTTCATTTTTCTAATATAAGATTTAGGGGTTGAATGAAAATTTGTACATAATTACAGAAACCAAATACTTCAGTTTCAGTAGAAATAAATATTTCCATTTACTGTTTAGCGCCGATTAAAGGATTTATCTCTAGTTGTATGATGAGTATAGATAGAAAGATAGATGTTACCGCCAAGCAATTTCTATTGGTTCAGAATATACATCAAACACTTGACTGAACCCTGATTGGATCAGGCGCTAATGGAATCGACATACAAGTGTGCACATAAAACCATAGCAACCCAACCCCCTCTAGTTTTCAGGTTATCCCAGCAGTCCCCCCCCTGACATTACTTAAATTTGTAACTTTGCTGGGGAAGTTCACAGTTTGAAATATTAAAGGTCTACGTTCTACAACACCAGGTTGCAAAGATATACATTTTGTGACGAGTAATCAATTATTTTAACTTTAAGGATCCTGGTATACCGTTAGATGTTTACTACCAGCATCTATCTATAGTACCTGACGTGGTCCTGGAGCTACCCTCAGATAGTGATTCATCCAGGTTTAATTTATACTTAAAGAGACTGGAGACAGAACTCTATAATGTAGCAAGTCTAATCAACAACGAGATTCGGAATTAAGAATAAAAGAGATATTTATGTATTCTTCTTTGATTAAAAGCGACTTGCGGATTTATGCCACAGAACAAATGGAGGAAATTGTTAAATAATATGTAGTAGCTTTTTTGAAAAGATAATTGGAAATACGGGGAAAAGGGGTAAAGTGAAGAAAAAAATTGTTTTTTATTCGTCACAGATCTTTTTTTAGGATTTGGCTCGGATTCCTGTAGTAATAAGTCATGAAAAAATCCTTTTAAATAAAAAACTTTGTCAAAATTTTTCAATAATGTAAAAAAAGAATATTCTCATGATTGTGAATTGTAACAGGCCCCATGCAACAAATAGATTAATAATTACAATTTTTATTCTAAAACTTCTTAAAAATGATACGGAGGTATATTTTACTGTTATTAACTTCTAAAACTAACCTTATCGTATTTAGAGGATTTGTAAGAATATCTAAAATAAAGTTTAATTATCTGGAAAAATATGAAAATATTTTCTTAAAATTTGGTTCGAAAATAATTCCTGAAAATATTTTGGTTAAATGCTATCCAAATATTTATTGTTTCAACAAATAGAGGAAATATTAAAAATTTTACAGCGATACAACTATTTGTGGTGTAAAACATTTTAAAGGGACTATTCAAATATTTGAAATTAAAAATACGATGAGCTGAAAAATATTGTTTGACTTTTTGGCTATAAATAGTAAATACCTTTTTCTAACTTTTGAACAAATTATGACACTTTCGAATCCCTGATATTTACATTGCAACCTTTAAACCATGGTTGCAATGTTAGATTGCAACAGTCTGTGATTGCAACCCTAGGGATGCAATCCAGTTAATTGCAGGTTTACAACTCAGAAAACAAAAATATGTGCCACAAAACTAAATACATTGTTCAGTTTTTAAAACCTGAAAAAGGTAGATTTTGATTTAAATTAAATTAAGATTTGATTAAAAGTTGAAAAAATTACATAACACTTCTAGGGAAGCCACGGCAATATAATATTCCCTCCTATATTAATTGCATCCCAAGATTGCTTCCTTATACTGAAGAGATAGATAGTTATTACCTGATCATCAATATAATATTCCCTCCTATATTAATTGCATCCCAAGATTGCTTCCCTATATACTGAAGAGATAGATAGTTATTACCTGATCACCAATAACAATAAAGTGGGTAAAATATGAGAAGAAACAAGTTTTTTTATTCTCAGTGTTAACATCATCTCTTAACTAATCCTGACGAAAATATTTTCTTGATAACAGAAAATATTTTCTTGATAACAGAAAATATTTTCTTGATAACAGAAAATATTTTCTTGATAACAGAAAATATTTTCTTGATAACAGAAAATATTTTCTTGATAACAGAAAATATTTTCTTGATAACAGAAAATATTTTCTTGATAACAGAAAATATTTTCTTGATAACAGAAAATATTTTCTTGATAACAGAAAATATTTTCTTGATAACAGAAAATATTTTCTTGATAACAGAAAATATTTTCTTGATAACAGAAAATATTTTCTTGATAACAGAAAATATTTTCTTGATAACAGAAAATATTTTCTTGATAACAGAAAATATTTTCTTGATAACAGAAAATATTTTCTTGATAACAGAAAATATTTTCTTGATAACAGAAAATATTTTCTTGATAACAGAAAATATTTTCTTGATAACAGAAAATATTTTCTTGATAACAGAAAATATTTTCTTGATAACAGAAAATATTTTCTTGATAACAGAAAATATTTTCTTGATAACAGAAAATATTTTCTTGATAACAGAAAATATTTTCTTGATAACAGAAAATATTTTCCTGATAACAGAAAATATTTTCTTGATAACATCAGAAAACTTTTAATAATTAAAACAAAGCTTACAACATTTATTCAAGATTTTTTTTTCAATTCTCCAATCTCCACTACCCTCACTACCTCCGGCTTTTTAAAATCTTAATATCAACATTTATTCAATTATTTTTTTTTTCGATTTCAAACTACCACCGACTGTTGAAATCTTTTTATCAACATTTATTCAAGATTTGTTTTCCAATTCCCCACTACCCCCCTACCCCTGACTTTTTAAAATCTTAATATCAACATTTTTTCAAGGATTTTTTTTTTAATTCTCCACTACCCTCACTACCTCCGACTTTTTGAAATCTTAATATCAACGTTTTTTCAAGGATTTTTTTAAAATTTCAAAATTTAAATTTAAAATTTTAAAAGTTTAAAATTTAAATTATTACTACTTTAACTACCTTATATTTATTTGACATAAAGCTATTGTGAAAAATAAGGTATTTTATACATAAAGGGGAGGTCGTCCCCCTGGAAAAATTAGGCGCGCAATTAGAGAGAACTCCAGGAGGGGGACATTATTGACAGAATTGGATAGTTATAGTTATAATTTGATATATCGCAAGCGCAAGCCTCACGACCCTGCACTAGCTATATTTTCATGATTAATTGTTCTTTACTGTGAAGACGACCCAGCCATACATCTATGAGTACATGGTCCGCCTGGTCCCAGCAGTCTAGCAGGAACACTAGCAGGTACAGTACACCAGGCACAGTACACCAAGTACAGTACACCAGGTACAGTACACCAGGTACAGTACACCAGGTACAGTACACCAGGTACAGTGCACCAGGTACAGTACACCAGGTACACTACACCAGGTACAGTACACCAGGAACACTACACCAGGTACAGTACACCAGGTACAGTACACCAGGCACAGTACACCAAGTACAGTGCATCAGGTACACTACACCAGGTACAGTACACCAGGTACACTACACCAGGTTCAGTGCACCAGGTACAGTACACCAGGTACAGTACACCAGATACAGTACACCAGGTACAGTACACCAGGTACAGTACACCAGGTACAGAACACCAGGTACAGAACACCAGGTACAGAACACCAGGTACAGTACACCAGGTACAGTACCGAAAATTGAAAGATAGACTCTGCTACCCCTTTCTTAGTCCATGAAGCCTGTAGCGATCACAAAGTTTGAGTAGCCAAACTGACGACATTTGTTTTAGCTTATACATTAAATATTATTGGTAAATGTAAAATGTAGCTAGACAAATAAAGGTTTCATTTGAGCTGATCCAGTACATCTCAACACCTTTATAAGTTATCTTATTTCCAAGAAATTCCAAAACCCTGGAGAATGAAATTGTACACCAATAATAAAGGGATTTTTAATGCAATCGCTAAAGAACAGCGAACGGGATTCCAAATTATTTTGATTTAAAGTGTGCATTTTCAAGAAACCTGGACTTAGATTTGTATAAATAGTCTATTTCTGATTGGAGGGGCCTGACCTTCTAGGGCAAAATTTAATGGAAAAATCATTCCGTCATCAGAGTGTTTAATTTCCATTACAGTTAAATCTAGAATATAGGATGTTTTCGAATGATTAAGAAAATAAAAAAATTACGTTTAAATCAAAGAGAATAGAAAATATATTAGAGGGGAATTTAGAGAATCTCTCAGTATGAATTTTTTCAGTCCCTTTCAGCCTGAAAGGGAGTTCAAGCGTACAAATCATGTAAATGTTCACAAATTATATGCAGTAGAGTACATTATAATACAGTATTTTCCCTAGACTATTCATTTCAATTTTGAATTTTTTAAAGCTGTTAAATAAACTTTATAATGAATTAGGTGAATAAAAAACATCAATTGATTTAAAGTTATAACGGAAAATCATCGTTTGTAAAGTAAAAGGCATAGAGTCTATGTGAAATGATCATTGGTCAATTATGAAACCTTTCATAATTTGGTTTTCTTTTAACATTAATTTTAGATTTTTCTATAAAAGGATATTCCAGGGCCCAAAAGGTTATATAGCATAAATATGCGAAGTACACCTGCAGTATGGAAACAGTACAACAAAATGGCCGTTTTACACTTTTTTCTAGTAAATTCCCCTCTAACATATATTCTATTCTCTTTGGTTTAAATATATTGGAAGGAAAAATTGAGTAAAATGTCACTAGAAACATATTCCAAGTAAATTTAAAGCTGAGAACATTTTACAATGATTTACCAAAAAAAATTGTTTTTAATCAAAAATATATTTTTCAGAACTAAAATGATAAAATGTTCTTGACGATTTTTCAAAGAATTAGTATAAATAAAAAGTCAAGGACATTCTTTTATATGATTTTAAAGATGTAATAGAATATTTTCAAGAATGATTTTCCGTTCTCAAGTTGAAGGAATAAGAAAATATTCATGTCATACTAAAATTTGAAAAATGTCATATTAAGACCATAATCATTCAATTTATTTATTTAAAATTTTGAAAGAAATTTATAGGAAAAACGTAGAAATATTTGAGTTTGTAATCCTAATGCTAGTTTAAGATACAAAACCTTTGAAACTCTGACTTCTGAAGATTGTAGTGATAAGTAAAACTATGACTTAAAATGAACACGCACCTCTGACCCTTCAGTAAAAGTAAATTCAACCTAAAGTCTGACCGCGTCAACCGTGTCTGCTTCATTTACCCACTGACCGGTCGATACAGTACAAACTGGGACCGGAAAAGTTGACCCGGCTTGGAAATTCAATTGTATTGCGGCTGCCCGTGTGAAGATCTTCGAGATTCGTAATACATTTTGCTTTCTATAATTCTTTTTAAAACAAAGTTTGAAGAAAAAATTAAGTTTACAGTTTACACTATACACATACTGTCATGTATGTATAAAGTAGTAATCTCTGTTTTTATGTCCGATTATAGCTCAGGAACCTCTTAACCGATTTGCCTCAAATTTTGATTTGGGAATTTGGTATAACCACGGGAATGTTCTTTGCATGGTTAACAAGGCCTTTGTTAAATAGCTTGACTCTTATAAAAAACTTAGTTACGAGGCAAAGCTGGGTTCCCAAGCTAGTCTATGTAATAAACATTAAACAAGACATTCGTGTATATATATATATAAACATGTTGCCCATAGCTGGCCAAACGGCTGAACCGATTGGGCTGAATTTTTTTGTGGACACTAATTTTTTTACGGGCAACGCCGTGCCCTTCTGCTAGTAATTTATAACTCCTAAGAAATATTTGTCTTATCCTGAATTGGTGTTTTAATTATTGTTGATTTGTTCTCAAATAGCATCAAAAAGAATAAATCAGTTTGACCAGATTTGTGTAATCTAACTTAAAATAAAATTAATATGCAGTGAAGCCTATTTTGCAGGAGAAATACCCAAGCCTCAATATTTGACTCGATCAATCCGAGGACGGACCGACGATCCTCCGACTGCGGAGATCTGGCGGCTTCTCTTCTCAACGTACCTAATCTGCAGAGGTAAACACACGGAGTAGGAAGACGGGGAAATGAATTAGAACTTATTTCGACTTATAGCGTGATCACTCTGCTGAATCTTATAAAAGTCGTCTTTTTCTTTTAACATATAGAATATACAGAAAACAGAACGTTAGTTTTCTTAATTATATGAAATTGGTTTTAATTCGATGTAGAGAAGTGAAAACCTCTATTGATAAAAAAACCACCTATAAAGATTTACTTTTCTCAATGGAGGACCGTGAGCAAAGCATGTATTCATAAAATAAACTGTGTAAGGGAAAAAATTTATCTTTTTAACTAAAAGAAAGGGTAAAGACGACAATTATTTTTTAACCTTCATCTCTTTTTAGATCCAGGTCCCGGGGATCAAGCTTGCCAGGATTAGAGTCTCCAAGCCTATACAGGAAACTTTCTTCCTAAATTATCAATTTTTTTAAAATCTGAAATTTCATAAAACAATTAGAAAAAAAATTGACTTTCTTTAAAGATTCAAAGGTTCTCTTAAAACATTTCTCAAGGAAACTATATCTTCGAATCCTAATATATCTTAATATTTGCAATCTTTTCGTTGCAACTTCTCTACAGAGATTATAGCATTGACAAGAACAAATATAGTTAATATTTGCAATCTTTTCGTTGCAACTTCTCTACAGAGACTATAGCATTGACGAGAACAAATAATGTTAATATTTGTCCAATTTTAGATAGAAATTAACAAATGAAACTTGATAGTTTGGAAGACGGATAATATATTGAGTTGTCCATTAACCCTATTCCTGCTGGCACACTGCCTGAATGACTACTTTTTCCTGTAACAAACGAAATCTTTGTTTGATCCACTTTCAGTTGTCAGATTTGATAATTTTAAGCTTTTTGGAAAGCCCATGACATGACAAAGAACGGATGGCACAAGTTTTGCAAATATTTTTTTGCTAATTATTTGCATACAACATGTCAAAAGAAATTTGCACTATTTTAGTTTTTCTTAATAACACATTATGTTATTTAAAATTTTGCAAAAATGTTTGCTTATTTGAAATAGCATGGTTAAGGGCGTTTCAAAAATGCATATTTTTTCATTTTTTGGACACTTTTTTGCAAACATTTTGCTATTTTTTTCCGATTTTAAAAGTAGAGCAGAGGAGCTTCCCGATAATGTATCTTTTGTCATATTTGGACACAAAAATGGGATTAAGTCAAATTGACCCCCCCCCCCCCAGCGTATCCTGGTTTTTATTTTACTTGAATAATATTCCTTTAAGTATAAGTTTTGCAATATTCTGTTCTATTCATGCAGATTTAAACTTTTTTTATTTGAAAACAAATCAATGATGTAGTTATTGACTTTGAAAGGCAAAAAAGACAAAACTGACAGAATTGGAAATAACTTTAAATGAGGTTTTTTCTCTTTAATCATTAAAGCAATTGGTAGTCTCATATTAACGGGATAAGGTTAGACATTATGTACAGGGTAATTGCACAGACTAAATGAGGGGCATTAAGGTCAAAATGTACATTTGTAAAAGAGGACTCACTCCTTATTGCAGATACAATGGATTACATTAAATGAATATGAACTTTTCAACAAGAGTGCAATTTCAGAATTCGGAATTTTCTCTTGACTGAAATGGTACAAATGTTATCCATTTCCTATCTTGCCAGGATTAAAAATCCTGGAAAGTCGTAGAAAAGTTTCAGTTCAGGGATGTAATTGTCAATTTTCAGAAAAAAAGATAATCTATTTTAAAGATAATTTTTAGTTTGATAAAGGTTTCACATCGATCAATACAGACGGAGGTTCACTTAAGATTGTATGCAATCCCATTATAAATTACATAACAAGAAAGAGTTATTTAGATCCAGGAATTTTTCAATATCTGGAGGCAAAATCATAAATAAAGGGGATTCATTCCAGACAAGATCTAACTGTTCATCCAGAGCACCCAGGTATACTCATCCTATACCCATCCAGGTATGCTCATCCATACTTATCCATTCAGGTATACTCATCCTATATCCATCCCGGTATACTCATCCCTACTTTTCCATTCAGGTATACTCATCCCATATCCATCCAGGTATACTATCCATCCAGGTATACTCATCCCTACTTATTCATACAGGTATTCTCATCCATACTTATCCATCCAGGTATACTCATCCATAATTACCTATCCAGGTATACTAATCCTATATCCATCCAGGTATATTCATCCATACTTATCCATCCAGATATATTTCATCCATACTTATCCATCTATGTATATCATCCATATTATCCATCCAGATACACTTCATCCATACATATCCAGCCAGGTATACTCATCCACACTGATTTATACAGGTATACTAATCCATCCTTATCCATCCAGGTTTACTCATCCATACTTATCCATCCAGGTATAGTCATCCATTCTTATCCATCAGGTATACTTATCCATATTCATCCATCTAGGCATACTCATCCTATACTTATCTATCCAGGTATAATTCATCCATAATTTTCCATCCAGGTAATCTCATCCATACTTATCCATCCAGGCATGTACGTATATGTTCATCAATATGTATCCATCTATATATATTATATACATATATTTTTCACAACTTATTTTGTAGACCTATTTGAGTTGTGTTTGTAATGCGACATTTGTTCATTTGGAAGTTGACATTCTAGTTTTTTTCCAGGGGCGGGGCGGGGCTAAATTGTTTTCTTCTTCTAAGGGACTCAGCACCCTTTTGGGCCTAAACACGCCCTGAAAATCATTGATACAGAACGGGGGACCGTGCCAACAATGACCCCCCCCCCCCTCCCTCCCTGTATACACCCCTTGTATTTTTCTGTATATATTTTTGATTTTTGACATTTAATGGACTCCATGGACAACGGTGAAAATCAGTTTAGAAGAGATTAATAACATTTATTTGTCTAGTTGTGAATGCCTTGACTTTGGGTCTCGTCGTTCCTCTTCAAAATCAAGGTAACAAATCAATTTTGAAAGTATTAACTTAATTTACGCAGAATGAATGTCGTCTTCATTCTTTCTTAACAGTAGTTTAAAATTACAAAATGCAAAGCTGTATATTTGATCTGTACATGGCGAGAAAACTCTTCGTAATATAAAGGACAGTTAAGAGACATTGTTCTGAATAAAAGTAAAAAACGTTACTTTATCGTTTCGTTATTTATTGATATTCAAAACTAACAAACTGATAGTTTTGAACTTTTGATAAATAAAACGTTTTAGTGCTTTCGTCGTTGACAAAACGATTAGTTCGTTTTCAGGACAGTATTGGTTTGAGTTTTGTATCTAGTAAATTATGTTTGTATTAAGATAACACGGAGATATATCTATGCTTTAAATGCTTTAAATACATGAATTACTGATTGTTAGAATAAGTTAGCCCTAAAAGCAGAAAAAACATCGAGGAAAGTAATGATATTTCCTAAATATGAATTTTCAAAAGTTTTGTAATTTTTGTTTCTTTTGTATACCCCTTCAAAACTTTTTTATAGATACGGTAGATTTCACTTAACTAGCCTCTATAGACTCTAGAGACGGATTGCATTTGCTATTGATATTTGATATTCACAATATAAAACTATATAATATCATATTTTTTTGTTGGGAAAATAAAAGAATTCTAACAATCAGTTTTTAATGCAAGATTTGAGACCAAAAACTACTAAAGGAATGGAGTCTTTGCCACAAACTCAAATAGTCTAATCCCTATATATTTGCTAAATTACGGTGTAAACCTTTGATATTACATACTTAAATTATTTAATACAACTTAATTCTACAGTTGAAATATCTAAAGTTCATGACATTGGGTTTCATAGGTATAGGAATTAGAAAATCAGAGTTTGTGGCAATGACTCCATGTTCGGAAATGAATTTTATGTTAAGGAGTCCTTCAGTAGCCTCCAGTACAGAGTCAGTTTTCAGCCAAGCCAGCTACACAAGTCCAAACAGTCTGAACAGTCCCATTAGTCCAGCCACCGTCAACAGTCCAAACAGTCCGGCCAGTGTCAGTACACCGAATAGTCCCGTACGACCGCCCAGAAAAAATCGTCCCGGACTTTCAGGATCAGATACGCATAGTCTTAACTCAAGAAACTCCAGCATCGAAACCTGGTGATAACAGATTTAAGAAAAACATTTTAAAATAAAATCTTAACCAACTAAATTTATTTATTATTCGAATATTTATTTTTAGTCCGTACCTACCCTTGATGTACAGAATTGTTGTACTGGGTTCTGGTCAGGTACAGTTGCACTACACTTGCACTTATTTTTATTCATAAATATTTCATGATTATCACGCTAAAGGGGGTTAATTGTTTCTTATAAAAAACGTAATTATTACATTTTATACTATTGTATATTTTGCAAAATAGAAAAATAAAACTTTTTATAAATTGTAATTTCTTGTTTAGGTTGGGAAATCTTCAATAATATCTCAGTTCCTCACCTCAGATCATGTGGACACTTTTGCTTCAGTTGGTAATTTGATACAGTGAGAACCAGATAAATATGGAATATTACTTTAAGATTTAATTTATGACTTTAAATACTCCAAAGAACATAATATTTCAGTGTAAATTTATAAATTACAAATTCAAATATTTTCTTTGTGACAACATCAAAATGTTTTTTAATTGTCATTTTTTCCTAGAAGATACGATAGAGAAGGAAGTTGTAATCAATGTTGATGGAAAAGAGAGCCATCTTATCTTTATAGATTATCCTCATGGAGAAATACAGGTAGAGAAGACGACATTTATCAATGGCTTACAATTTCAAATAAAAGTTTTTAACTCTGATAATTTATCCATTGTTTCTTACAAGTAAGATAAATGTCACTTTTGCAGAGAAATTAAAAATGAAAATAAACAGTTTAAAAAAAAACATAGATATCTAATTCATACTCGATCAGACAAAGGTTTTAGGGGTACCGTTGTAAATTGGGAATTGCCATGATTTGTAAAAGAAGACGATATTATATTATATTAAAGGTTGAAGATCTACTTGAGCTGGAGACCCCTGATGGTATTCTTGCTGTGTTAGCTGTAGATGATGATGAATCTCTGACTGAGGTTGAAAATATTCTGAAATATCTGAAATATAAACAGTTCCTGGAAACACAGGTAGGTCACAGATAAAACTTATACAGCCGGCTACCTATACAGCCGGCTACCTATAACAGACTTCAGAGACGACTGTACGGAATTTGTTCGATCATTGTTCTTAGATTCATGGTTTCCTAAGACCATGGCATGGGAGGGGGGGTCTAATCAGAGCTAGTACATCCTGGCTGTTTAGTGTTTAGAAATAAACTCCACCAAGTTTTGATCTCATTTAATTGGTGAAAGGAATTGAGTCTTTGCCACAAACTTTAAATTTATAATCCCTATATCTTTGGTAGACCTTATATATTTCAAACTATGAATTCTGTTTCATTAAAAAATTTAAGTTTGAAATATCAAAACTTTACATCATAAGTTTGTAAGATACGGGATTAGAAAATATGAGTTTGTTTTAAAGACTCAATGCCTTTTTATCAAAAGCTTTATGTAGATTATACGTTGGGGGGGGGGGGGGGGGCGCTCCAGTATTAAAAAAGTATCATAAGAGATAAAATCTTGATTGTGCATACAAGCAATTTTGCAGAATTTTCAAAAAGATTATTCAAAATTCCAAATTGGTCAATTTTTATTAATATCTTCCAATAAAACAATTCTACATCTTTGCTTGAAAATTAAACCTTTATTGTAAAAATACATTTGTAATAAAATGTCCTTTTATTCTACTTTCGAAATTTTTTACAGTTTCATGATTATTATTTTTCATTAAAAAGCTTGTTTCCATTAACTTACCTTTATCCTTATTTCTTAGTTTTATTCTTACTTTATTATTGTTGGTTTTTTGTTTACTGCTTTTGAAGATTTGTATAGAATAATCTTTAATTTTCTATTTTCTCCCCAGGCTTGTATCGTAGTTGGGAACAAGATAGACTTAGTTCGGAGTAGGACGGTTTCAACTTCAGGAACAGATATTATAACTAACTTTAACTCAATCTTTCAAAGAAACTATAAAGGAACTAAACACTTGCGACAAGTTTGAAAGGGATTTTTTTTGCCAAAATCTCAATATTTGTAATCCCTATATCTTTGCAACCTGATGGTGTAAACTTTGATATATTAAACTTAGACTATTTGATCTAACAGAATTTATAATTCCTATATAATCTTCACTAGTAATCATTCAAATCGCTTATTAAGTGAAATGGATCTGTTTACACTGTACAATTTCTGTATCTCACGCTCATTGGACTATAGTTAGAATTTGAATCTTACAGTCGACTTTCTATTCCAGAGTTTTCTGGTTATCACTATATGAAAAATGTTTTTGAAATTTCAAAGATTGTATTAGAAAAGAAGATAATAGAGTTTGTGGCAAGTGTTCAGTTCTATAAATATCTAAACAAAACTACAAAGCTTGGTCCAAAATTATTAAAGCTACGAGTTTTCACTTTTTATGTTTGGGCGCTTTTCGTTTGTTTGTCGTATCCAATAAAAGCGACTAAATTAACCGAATTTAATGAATTTGAGCCCCGTTGCAAATCCGCCCAAAACCAGTTTTAAATTGGGCGCCAGCTTAAATCTTGAAACATTGAATACAATTTTAAGTGGAACCAACCATATTTGAGCCGCGTCTCAAATTTAAGCGCGGCTCAAATTTTTAAAAATCGGCCTCTGGTTCAAACTTTTTATGGCAACTCCCATGACCGCAAGGAAGGTTTATGAACGATAAAATTGAAAAATTTTGCCAGAACAAAAATGTCGACTTTTGAAAATTCACCAATTTAAACCGAAAAATCCGCGAAAAATATTGTTTATCGGAGTAAGATAAAAAAAATGGTGACTTGAAAAGCAACAGTTAAAAAGTAAAAACTTTACTAGAAAAAAAAGAGACCCGAAGTTCCCGATTTAGCATTATTTTTATAACTTTTCAGAGACCGACTTTAATGAATTTGAGTTCAGTCTTAAATCCGCCAAAAACCAGTTCTAATGAGCGCCGGCTTAAATTGAAACATTGAATACAATTCTAAGTGGAACCAACCATATTTGAGCCGAGTCTTAAATTTAAGCCGCGACTCAAATTCTGTATGTATAAAGTTAAACTGAATGCAAATCTTTATATCTATAAGATCTGAATTACAAAAGCTAAACCTATATAAAATATTCGTCTTTTAACATTTGATTGTATCTACTCCTACTTTGCAAAGGTCGAAGACAATGTATACTTGAATATTGCCCAGACAGGGTGGTAAAATAAAAATATTATATATAACTAGCTGAATATTATATATAACTAGCTGAATATTATATATAACTAGCTGAATATTATAAATAACTAGCTGAATATTATAAATAACTAGCTGAATATTATAAATAACTAGCTGAATATTATAAATAACTAGCTGAATATTATATATAACTAGCTGAATATTATAAATAACTAGCTGAATATTATATATAACTAGCTGAATATTATATATAACTAGCTAAGTATTATATATAACTAGCTGAATATTATATATAACTAGCTGAAGTTTGAAAAAAAATAGAAAAATGATACATATTGAAATAATTTATTTTTACCCCCTGTAAAAATTTCAGCCAATTTGCCCAACCGTTAGGACTGCCGTAGCTGACATTTAATATATATATAAATATGAGGGAAGAGGTTTTTATATAGATGATTTCAATTACGGAATAGATTTGTAATAACCGTATTTTTTCCGATGTTTCTATTAAAAAATATAAATAAAACGTTTATACAGAAATATATTTTTTTTTGCGCTGGAATCGATCGACTTCATTTTTATGTATGTCCCGTATATTCTCATTATTATAAATTTTTTTCAGAATCCTCATTATAATTCTTATTATTTGGTAAAGAATTTAATTCGGTTTCTTCCTTTATGAGTTACTTCCATTATTTTTGTTTTGTTTATTAGAATAGGATCAAAAAAAGGTTGACTTGAAAATCTATAAAATTTTAGTATCGTTTGAAAGTTTAAAAGATTTGAATCATCTAACTTCAAAGATATAGGGATTAAAAAATTAGAATTTGATGCGAGAAATAAATTTTTTTCCTGACACAGTTGGGTCTAACTAACAGACAATACAACGTCGAAAATGCCATGGTATTTAAAAATACTTATATCAATTTTCTTAAACTGCAGTCATTAGAACTAATTTAAGCGATTATAAACTACCTTGATTACTCCAAAAAAAATTAGCTGATCCCGGTTTGCTTATGCATTCCATGCACGCCGGGAAACGTGATTTAAAGAAACGGTTATGAAATGAAAATAGAAATCTCACCAGATAGAAGTCAAATATTGTATCCTTCATGTTTCCGTTCCATCAACATTTATTTTATTAAACAATTGACTATAGCGGGAAAAAAATTGATTTTAAAAATAAAGCTGCTCTTTTTCAAAAAGTCAAAACGATAACTTTGTTTACAAAATTACAAGAAACTATTGTAACTGATCAAAAATACCTGAACAAAATTAAAAGAAACTAGTGTAACTGATCAAAAAAACATGAACAAAATTACGAGAAACTAGTGTAACTGATCAAAAATACCTGAACAAAATTACAAGAAACTATATAGTGTAACTGATCAAAAATACCTGATCAAAATTACAAGAAACTAGTGTAACTGATCAAAAATACCTGAACAAAATTACAAGAAACTAGTGTAACTGATCAAAAATACCTGAACAAAATTACAAGAAACTTGTATAACTGATCAAAAATACCTGAACAAAATTACAAGAAACCAGTGTAACTGATGAAAAAGAAATGTCGTCTTTTTTATTCTTGAAACCTTACGATAAAGTTTAATAGGATCATTTTTATAATGTTTAGGGGGCCCAACAAACGGAAATTATTATTGGAAATAATTGATGAATCGTATCCTTGAACATTTTAACTAATCAAGGATGACGGAGTTATCCTTATTTCTCAATAGAAACACTGTGATTATGTACAGGGTTACCCACTGTAATGACGACCTATAACTCTTAGAGCATGACGATTTGATTTTGATTTTCGGATTTAGAAAAAAAGCTCGTTTTGGCCTGCAAGGAACCATGAATGTAAGAAAAAGGAGTAAATAAATTCTGTATAGTCGTCTCTGAAGTGTCATTCTTTGTGGGTAACCCTGATGTACGTTTACAAGCTGATTTATATATCATAAATATAAATACTTTTAAGAGATAAACACACGGAGTTCTCTGTTGTCGATTAAAGGTTTGAAGCGTACCATTGTAAATCGAGCATTCCCCCCTTTGTATTGAGAACCAAATGAAATTAAGCGTCCCTTAAAGATACCAAGTGGGCTGCATGAGAAAGCAAGAATCGGGTTAGTAGTTTTCTTTATGGTTCGATTCCCCCAAAGTTCTGCAATTAAATGGAAAAACGATACGGAAGTCTTAGGGTTTTATATTAGATGGCATGCATGGTAACAATATGCAGAAAGTCTATCTCAAGGTTGTATATAAGGTTTGATACCCAGGATGCGCTCCAATGTAGTTAAATGTCGTCCAGTGTATCTAACCTTTTTATACCACCTTGGTCCATCTAAACCTACTATTCTTTCCAATATACCTATCATCTAACTAACTTTTGGCAGCGATTTGATTAATCTGTTAAACTTAAACATCTTTTAGTCCAAATTCCTTGATTTACAAAATTAAATTTTTACTAAATCCTTGGAATACTATAGCTAATATTCCCAACCTAATCCTATTCTTCTTAACTTCTCCTAGTCTGTTTCTACCTAACCAACCCTATTTTGCTATATCCTAACTTCAACTGAACCTATTTCGCCTTAACTTAAAACAACTCCATTCTTCCTAACTGCACCTAATCCGTTTCTTCCTAGCAGCCAAACCTAGTTCGTTTCTTCCTAACTTGACCTAGTTCTGTTTTTATCTAACTTAACCTCACAGAAAGGGGTTAAAAAACACTTCAAAATTTTTTCTCTCAAAGGCTTTATTATCATCCAATCACAATGGAATTAGTATCACAATCTCTGTAAGATGTCAGGACTACATGGTTAAATTACAAAAATTGGTCTATCCCGCTCTGAACGACCACAAAAAAAGCCTTTTACAAAGCTGAGGGAGGTCCACAGAACTGACTTAAAAATGATAAAAATCAGTTTTAACGTATTCAATATAACCTTAAAACTCTAAAAAGCTGTGCTAGTAACCAGATTACATGTTCAGGTTGGAGCTAATATGGCCAAACAACAATTTGGAGTATACTGTAAACCCACCATTTCCAAGCAAATACAGATCCAGTTCATTCACTTCTCCTTCAACATGGAAAACAGCAGCGGTGGAACCATTACTGTCAGCGGATGGGACCAAGTTTTATTTTAAGGAAGAATGCAAGTTATTATTCTACTGTTTTTCCATGTGTAAATCAAATCTAACGTACCTGGTTCTTGAGGGTTAGCTTACTGGACAGACGAACCTCTAAACAGCCACCACAGCCAGCCTCAGCAATAGGTTCAATCAAGGTTTGGTTTACACCTGACAATGTCCAAGATATTTTTCAATGTCTGTGATATTAATTAAATTATGATCGAATAATAATCAAGCCCATAGAGAGAAAAAAGTGTGAAGTGTTTTTCATTCGACACCCTTTAGTACCTCAAAAAAGTACTCGCAGTCCGGTTACATTATTTTTGCATTATGTAATTTTCATTGGTGCCCTTTAGAATGTACTCAATAATATGAACTAGGAATATATATACTTATATATATATATATATATATATATATACAGGTAGGTATATTTCCCTATTATATATCTATACACATCATGCTGCTGATAAATGTCAAACATGAAACACAATGTCCAGCAATAACCTAACTATAAAAACAATAGAAAAGGTTCTAGACTTATTTTAAGAAGACCTATACAAATATATATATTAATGCAATACTCAGGTTGGAAATAAAAGGATTTGGGTCAAATTAAGAAGAAATAGGAAAAAAGCACTATATGAGAAAACAGAAAAAGGAATAAGGAGGGAGGAGATCATACCAGGGCCGGGAGAAGGAAGAAGGAGGTCATATTAGGAAGAAGGAAGTTGGAGGCCATACTAGGGAGAAGGAAGGAGGAGATCATACTAGGGAGAAGGAAGAAGGAGGTCATATTAGGAAGAAGGAAGTTGGAGGTCATACTAGGGAGAAGGAAGGAGGAGATCACACTAGGAAGAAGGAAGCTAGGAGGAGGAGGAGATCACACTAGGAAGAAGGAAGGAGAAGGTCATACTAGGGAGAAGGAAGGATGAGGTCACACTAGAAAGAAGGAAGGAGGAGGTCATACTAGGGAAAAGGAAGGAGGAGGTCATAATAGGGAGAAGGAAGGAGGAGGTCACACTTGGAAAGAAGAAGGAGGTCAAACTAGGAAGAAGGAAGGAGGAGGTCATTCCAGGGAGAAGGAAGGAAGAGGTCATACTTGGAAACAGAAAGGAGGTCAAACTAGGCAGAAGGAAGGAGGAGGTCATACTAGGGGGAAGGAGGGATGAGGTCACGCTAGAAAGAAGGAAGGAGGAGGTCATACTAGGGATTGGAAAAGGAAGAAGGAATTCATACTAGGGAAAAGGAAGGAGGAGGTCATACTTGGAAAGATGAAGGAGGTCAAACTAGGAAGAAGGAAGGAGGAGGGTCATACTAGGGGGAAGGAAGAAGGAGGTCAAACTAAGGAGAAGGAAGGAGGAGGTCTTGCTAGGGAGGACAGCCGGCAGATAATGGTTTGGCATCTTTCAGCATCTTTGTCTTTTTCTTAAATAAAATAAATGAAAGATTCGCACTGGCGTGATAGTTTTACCAAGTTGAGGTAGGTTTAACTATTCAGAGTCCAGTGGAATTTTAAGTATTTTAGAATCAAACCATACATACATTATGTATTTATAAAATAGTAATCTCTATTTGTCTGTTTGTTTAGCTAAGCAAAGCTGGGTTCCCAAGCTAGTAGTGTATATATATGTAACAAATGCCTTACTCCAGTTATAACCTTCTGTATTCTCAAGTATCTATCAATCGAGATACAACCTCTGAATCCGTCAGTATGTATCGTACAGATACAACTCGTTCTAGAACTCCACGTTCTACAATAATTCCTAGGTCTGGATCACGGCAGATGTACAACACTCTCTGTATTCTCAAGTTTGTAAACCGGATACAACTCAATTCTGTATTCTGAAGTTAGTAACAACTCTCTTTTTTTCTACAGATAAAACACTCTCTGTATTCTCAAGTTAGTATCCCTGATACAACTCAATTCTCAAGTTAGTATCCCTGATACAACTCTCTTTATGCTCAAGTGTGTATCAATCCAGATACAACACTTTTTGTATTCTCAAGTTAGTATCCCTGATACAAGTCTTTTCATCTCAAGTATGTATCCTGATACAGCTCTCTTTCATGATCAAGTAAGTATCAATCCAGATACAAAACTTCACGCAATTTCTTAATATGTATCCCTGATACAACTCGAGCTAACTCTTTGCTTCTCTACACGAGAATTATATACTTGTGAAAACATAAGGAAGCAACAAATCATGTTTAACTAACTTATATTTAAAGTGATGATGGGTTTTATAGTACATGTTAAATTAATGAACGTAATTAAACTAAATCGTAGTACATGTTAATGATAAGGACTGATATGCCTTCTCAGAATTTAACGAGCGTAATTAGGATACAGACAATGTTAAGGTTGAAAAATATGGAGTTTACTACTATATTTATTAAATACATATGTATATTTAAACGAGGTGTGTTGGGATTAGTATTGTTTAATGATAAATACATATGTATGCATATTTAAACGAGGTGTGTTGGGATTAGTATTGTTTAATGATAAATATCTGGAACTAGACGGAAAATCCCTCGCTAAGAAGTTTGGAGTTAAGTACGTAGAAACATCGCCAGGTAAACAGGGGGTGGAAACCTTTTTCTTCTCATTTCCAGAAACAAAATGTTTGAGTTAAAATATGAAAACAAAATCTAATATTTTCCTCTTATTTCAGTTTAAAATTAACATTAAGTGCGCAATAAAAAAATCTGTCAAGTATTATCATTAAATATCAGGGAAATCTTTTAAAAAAGTAATGATTACAAATCAAACGCATTAAAAGCATAAAAAGATCTTAATCAATGATAATGCAGAATTTTTTATCAATTGAGAAACTTCAACTTAATTTACATTGTTAATGTGCATTAACAATATATTTATAGTTTAAACGATTACAAGAATTGCGCAGCAAACAAACACTTATTGAACATTTATTTTTAGATGGAATTGTTTTTTTTGCATGGCGTAAAATTAACGCTCTCAACCAACTTTAACAAGCATATACACTAAATTTAATCATTTTGTGTTCATAACAGGGACAATGGAATCAAATTGCCAAAATCTAGAAAAATTTAAAATTTTTCTTTTTTTAGGAATAAACCATTATATTAATGAACTCTAGGAATAAACCATAATATTTATTAACTAAGATGTATAGGATCGAATGAACCATCCTATTGGTTAACTATAATGTTCAGGAATGAACCATAATATTGATTAACTATAATGTTCAGGAATGAACCATAATATTGATGAACTATAATGTTCAGGAATGAACCATAATATTGATGAATTATAATGTTCAGGAATGAACCATATTATTGATTAACTATAATGTTCAGGAATGAACCATAATATTGATGAACTATAATGTTCAGGAATGAACTATAATATTGATTAACTATAATGTTCAGGAATGAACCATAATGTTCAGGAATGAACTATAATATTGATTAATTATAATGTTCAGGAATGAACCATAATATTGATAAACTTTAATGTTCAGGAATGAACCATATTATTGATTAACTATAATGTTCAGGAATGAACTATAATATTGATGAACTATAATGTTCAGGAATGAACCATAATATTGATGAACTATAATGTTTAGGAATGAACCATAATATTGATTAATTATAATGTTCAGAAATGAACCATAATACTGATGAACTATGATGTTCAGGCATGAACCATAATATTGATGAACTATAATGTTCAAATGTTCAGAAATGAACCATAATATTAATGAACTATAATGTTCAGGAATGAACCATAATATTGATAAACTATAAAGTTCAGTAATGAAACATAATATTGAAGAACTATGATGTTCAGGAATGAACCATAACATTGATGAATTATAATGTTCAGGAATGAACCATAATATTGATGAACTATAATGTTCAGGAATGAACCATAATATTGATAAACTATAATGTTCAGGAATGAACCATATTATTGATTAACTATAATGTTCAGGAATGAACTATAATATTGATGAACTATAATGTTCAGGAATGAACCATAATACTGATGAACTATGATGTTCAGGCATGAACCATAATATTGATGAACTATAATGTTCAAATGTTCAGAAATGAACCATAATATTAATGAACTATAATGTTCAGGAATGAACCATAATATTGATGAACTATAATGTTCAGGAATGAACCATAATATTAATGAACTATAATGTTCAGGAATGAACCATAATATTGATGAACTTCTTGTGGGACTGTTCACGCAAATAAAGTTGAGAGAAGAGGAGAGAGGAGACGAAGGAAGAGAAGGATCAAACAAAAAACATAAAAAGGTATGATAACATACGCCTTAGCAAGCCTTACACTTTAAATCTCAGATGAAGATTCATTCACTTTGAAGATTTACAGTGTATATTTTTTGAACAAATGTTTTTATTAAGGGATATGGTTTACTTGGACGTGTTCTCAAGATGAAACTCAACCTGAACAAGTCCTGTACTAATCTATCAGCTCTCTAATGGATCTGTACTAATCTATCAGCTCTCTAAAGGCACTAACCTATTACCTCTCTAAATAATTCAAGAAACCAACCCTATGGATTTTAAGAACTTTTTGACTCCTTTAACTTTGTTAAAAAAGGGTTCAAAGCATACGAACCAAATAGGTTAAATGTTAAAGAATATGAACATGGGATGATTTAAAAGTTACATAGTTTCGCATCTAATAACCTTCCTTCGTATCAAGGTTTCAAACGTATTCTCAACCTACATGTTAAGCCGGCTAGGGCCCCAGCAACATGTTCACTTACAGCCTAAATGATGTCTCTGAAATCTGTATTGCACTCTAATGTTCTACGGCGAGTTTAAAATTTTTATTTTTGCATGGGTTTAGATCTATCTGAAAAGAAAACACAAAGAAAAATAGATTATTCTGCAAAACGATGTTTTTCCATTTCTATAATTTGCAATTTATTAATACAAGAAGGGGTATAATGATGGTATTTAAACTTCGGTGTTCAAGAAATACATTTTAAGAGAGGGCCATATCCAATTCTTTTCGCTTTTTTCTAGCTTGTAAAGAGACAACTCAACATAACGATTTTTTTAAATTAAAATAATGGATAAACAGGGATACCCACAAAGGATGAGACTTCAGAGACGATTGTACGGAATCTAAATTGTCTATTTTCCTATAAATATAACCCCTGCATCTATAAACTTCTTTCATTCTTTGCCAAAACATTAATTAAGCCATTTAAAAAGAATTGACTTAGTTTAACCCTGGAATAGTCATATTTCAGGAGTTTCAGGTCGTCTTTACAGTCTCAGCTTTTGTGGGTAATCCTAGGTATCCTAATCATTCTTGAAAAGCTAAACCTTTTAGAATCATGGAAGATAGTAGCAGCATATTTCTCCGGAACCGGGCCACCGGAGGAGACATATAATTACCGGAGTTACAAATTGTCACGCAACCTCCCAGCGGAGAAGGAAAAGATAAATAAACCACGAAACCTACCCTTTATTCTGATAATTTTAACCGTTACACTGTTTGATTTTT